CCAAACCAACAGTGACTATATTTTATAAAATACAAGTCATGGCTATTGTTACAGAGACAAGAGCATTAGACTTGAAGTTAAAGAACTTGGGTTCTGGACCTATTTCTAAAGTTTTTTATTTCCCATATGATCTTAGACAAACTTCCCTGGTCTCTCTGAGACTCAATTTATATATAAATTGGAAGTAATACACACAGCATTGGTAAAATGGAAATATGTGGAATTATATATGCAGACATAATGTCATTTATAATTATGCATACATTTTATACATGAATTATATATAAAATGGAAATAGTAAGCTGATCCTTCCTATCTCACAGGGTTGTTGTAATGATCATAGGAAGTGTACAGATAAATTGTTCTTTGTTTAGAAGATGGTAAAATAATACGACTATGGTTACATTATCAAAGTCAAATTAAAGTATGTGTGAGGAGGAAAAGTAGCCTCCACCTATGCTGTGTTATCAGGGCTGGTCTTAACCAGTTTCAATACCTAAACTCTCAGGGTCAAGGAGAAATTTCTCCCTATGATTTGAAGCTGGTGGTCTTGATTTCTGTAGGCTCTGCAAAGTAGGTTTTACTTCTTGACCTTGCATCCACTTGGATGACCTTGGTAATTAACCTGGGCTCCAAGGTTCAGCATGTCAACTATAATATGACAGCCTACGGCTCCTCCAAGTCTTTCCTGTATCTAATAGTCTCCACTTTGAAGCACTTTTTCCGAGCATGGGAGCAACCTGCCTTTTCAAGTGGAGCCTGACACAGAGTCAACAATTGTTAATAAAGTAGGAATGACCTTTGAAGCAATCAAACTGGTCCGTCAGTAACCAGCCATGAATAATATTGCAATTTTCAACTACTAGCTTCAGATAAAGTTACACTCCTGTGGGGGCCTCTCATGGTGTGCTGACCTTACTAAGCTGGAGGAGGTGGGTGGATTCCTAACTCAGCTAACCATTTGAGAATTTCCTTGGCACCCAGTAGAGAACTATTGAAAGGAAATTTCACTGTTGGTTATGAGCCTAAGATTCATTAAGGTGAGATCTGAAAGGTTTTATCCTGAGGGGCTTAAAACGCCAAGCGTAGCTCAGTTTGAATGTCATTAACTTTTCTGTCACGGAGACTATGGCACAAAAGATTTGAAATTTGGGGTCAGGTAAAGCTGACCTTCACTCCTGATTCTGCCACTTTTTTTTTTTTTGTGTGTGTGTGTGTGTGTACTAGAAATTGAACTCAGGACCTTGCACTTGCCAGGAAGGCACTTTGCCACTTGCTGACTGTGCAAACTTGAATTATGTCTAAAATGGGGACCATATTTGTGCTTTCTTCCTAGGCTTGGTAGGATTTTTTTTTTTTGGGGGGGGAGGGTTAGAGGGAGACCAGTTATATTCTAGGAAGAAAGAAAGAATGGAAAAGAGAAAAGAAAGAAAAAGCAAATTAGGTTTTGGTGTTACTATTTATCAGTTGGGTTATCATCTAGTACCCAGAAGAGTGTTACGTACAGAGGCAGATTAGTAATGGTGTCAGAGCGCAGGTAGAGCACATCTCAGACGATGGGATCTTTCTCCCTGTCTTGTAGGGTTTGACTTCAAAGCTGGAAAGTTTCTGAAGTGCTCTCCATGTTCAGAAGGAGAGAAGTGGCCATTCCTTTGACAAGATATGATATATACAAATAAAGAGAAAAATAAGGATATATAGAGTTGACTAGCAACAAGGTTTCTTTCTGAGGCAGAAAGCCAGGAAATGCTACAAGACTGTTTCCTGGTGTAGTTTGGGCTGAGCTCCAAGGACAGGGAATGAGAGGCACTCGCCGCCGGAAAGAGAGGCCAGCTTGTGCTGGAAGAGTCAGGAAGGGCTCCCGAAGCTGAGGCCATTCAGAGACTGCCCTCTGCTCCACCTCCACCTAAGGAGTTGCCCCATGGAAGTCTTGGATTCCACAGCTTTCATCCCTGTATCTCTCCCCTTCTTCTTCTTTTTTCCCACGTATTCACTGCCTTAAACTTGCTCCAGAGGATGTTGTGCCGGCCTGTCACTGAGTAGACTCCTTACAGACTCACCCTGGTCTCCGTGACCCTTCCAGCCCCTCCTAGTGTTTATTGGATAATATGGTCTATACCAAGCAGGTGCTGTGCAAGTCCTTGTTAGTTGAATAAGGAGTTGAGCACTGAGGGAAAAAGCACTTGGAGAAAAAAATCATTGGAACAACAGGACAGACCTGGGGAGATGCTTGAGCCACTGCCGTTGCTTTTAGTCATGACTGCTTGTTGTCTCTGTAAGAGGGACAGTGTGGAGAAGAAAGGCATTCTGGAGTTCCGTTTGTGAAGGTGGCCTTGATTTAAATCAAATGTACATGAGCCCCTAATTGCCTAAATTTCCAGGTATTATTTTTGTCCTTCCTTCCCTGTAAACACACACACACACACACACACACTCACACACATACACATACACACACACACACACACACACACACACAGGGTAGCATATGACTTTATCTTTTTCTTGCTGTGTTTTCTTGCTGTGTTATTTACTGGGGAGAAAAAACTGAAGAAGCCTCAGAGAGATCAGCATCAGCATTCAGTCCAAGTCCAGTGAACTGTGTAATTGATGTCCTCATCCTCAAGCACGATAGTCCGAAGTATGAAATCAGAATCTGGAAGTCCGCCTGCTGTATATTGCCTGCCTTCCTTTTCTGTAATTATATCCCTGCCAGGAAAACCTAAATAGCACCAAATTTCCTTTCCATTCTGTGTTCTGTGGCTTTGTAGACTCTGTTATCACACCCCAGTCGTCTTTTCCAGCATGTTCTGACCCTTCTTTTATTAATGAGCATCTCAGTTCCTACTACCCTCTGAAACCTTCCCTGTGTAGAAATCCCCCAAGAAGCATTCTTATCCCTCCACCTCAAGCTTTTGCAACAGAATTTCATCACAAACAAAAGTACTTCAAGAAGAGAACATAGAGCACTGCACAGCATCCAAGCCCTGTGAGTTTGGACAAGTCAATTCTACCACTCTGTACCCAAGTTTCTCTATAAATAATAGGACTTCTTATTATCTTCATTATTCATTAGAGCCAGTTTTCATGGGCATTTTATTTTCAGCTGCCAGCAGCGGTGTGAAGTCAGTTCTGTTTAAAATTAAGACAGTGCTGTGAAATTCAAAACACAGTGGACCATCATTGCTTACCTATACGAATGGCTAGAATAATATTTAAAAAAAAACAGTGACAGTACCAAATACTTGTGAAGATTCAGAGAAAAGAAATATCTCAGACTTTGCTGGGGAGAATATGAAATAATGGGGCCACTGGGGAACAGTTTGGAGGTTTCTCGTAAAACTAAGCATGCAATTCCCATATGAGTCAGCTATTGCACTCTTGGGCATCATCTGTCCTAGAGAAATGGAAACTTTTTCAATAAAGCATGAACAGACTTTCTTAGCAGCCTTGTTTGTAGTTGTCAAAGACTGGTATCAATCTGTAAGTCTTTCAGGGGTTGACTAGTTCAACAGATGTTCTATATCCATACCATGGAATACCACTCAGCAATAGAGAAGAACTGTCTTGATACACTCAACAACTTGGATGACTCTCCAGAGAATTATTTGGGGTACAAAAAGCCAGTGAATTACTGTATTAGTCCATGTATGTAACATCCTGGAAGTGATAAAAATTATAGAAACAAGAAGCAGATTAGTAGTTGACAGGGATTAGGGATAAGGAAGTGGATGGGGAGGTGCTGTGTGGTTACAAAAGGGCAACATGAGAGGTACTCACGGTGGAAGTTGTTACTATTTTGACTGTGGTGGTACGTAGATGAAACTACTTAGGTGACAAAATTGGATAGAACTAAGTTCACACATACAGATACATTAAAAAGTAACAGTAAAACTGAGGATATCTGGACAAGATGATGGATTTTTATCAATATCAGTATTCTGGTTGTGATATTGGACTCTAGTTTTATACTATTATTTTTTGAGACAGAGTCTCACTATGCAGTGCAGATTTGGCTTCAACTAGATTATGTAGCCCAGGCCGGCCTCAAACTCATGGCAATCCTGCTTCAGCCTCCCAAGTGCTGGGATTATGTGCCACCATACATAGCTGAATGATGTTATCATTGGATGAAACTGACTAAAAAGATACACAAAATCTCCCTAGTATTTCTTCTTTCTTTCTTCTTTCTTTCTTTCTTTCTTTCTTTCTTTCTTTCTTTCTTTCTTTCTTTCTTTTTTTTGGTACTGGAGGATCAAACTCAGGACCTTGGGCTTGCCAGGCAGGCACTTATGCCGCTGAACTATATCATTGGCCATCTGGTATTTCTTATAGCTATATGTGAGTTAATAATTATCTCAAAAAAGCTGATTCAGAGCCAGAATTAGTGAGAATTCATTTTTCCAATTCTAACTTTTTTAGAATTGGAAACCTGACCATATTTCATTGTTCTGAAATTTTGGCCTCTTAGTCATATTCTGAGCAGGAAGAAAACTAGGAGTTTGAGTGCAATGCCCCACTGCTGAAAATAACAATGGAGTGGGTTTGTGTGGCTTTTCCTCCTCCTTACGGTTTGGTGATGTCTGCCTAGACCATAGAATTCAGAAAAAGAACACAGCACCTTCTTTTAGGACAAAAGCAGAGAACAGAAACGGGTCGGATTCAATGTACCATCCTGCCAGGCCTGGGGCTCGGGCTGCATGCAGCCTGTAACCTTGGCTGTCACTGGGTTGAGTTTAGAACACTGCCATAGGACACACAACTGAAGACATCCTAGGGACAGACCTTGGGAGCCCAGCCACTGCAAGCTGTTTTTCTAGAGACATTAACTCAGAACTCAGGTTTGTTTTCCAACTTCCTGGCAGGCGACATGTGGCAGCCAGGACGTTTATTCCTGGCTGGTGATCTGTCTGTGTTGGAGATTTTCTTTCTTGAAAGTATATCCTGGAAACTGTGAAGTTGGAAGAATTTGGTGCATGATGGTTTTCTTTTCTTTGAAGTTGTAGGACAGTCCCACCTGGATGGCAACATTGAGGATCAGGAGATTGTCACCAATCCGCCAGACATTTGCCAAGTTGTGGAGGTGACCACTGAGAGCGACGAGCAGCCCGTCAGCCTGAGTGAACTGTACCCCCTGCAGATTTCCCCTGTGTCTTCCTACGCAGGTAAGTGGGCAGGAGGGGGCAGTGGGGACTGAATGGGGAACAAGTCAGGGCCATCCCTTAGTCTTGTGTCACGACTCAGCAAAGAGTCTCTTCTGTCCTTGGAAATGTTCTTGCTAGTGTTACTCTTACTTTTGTTTTCTTGACAGTGATCTTCTTGAACACTTTTGCTCTCAATTAGAAGGATGCTCACAGCATTCTTTTTTCTTCTTTTTAAAGATTTATTTATTTGTCTGGTACAGGGTCTTGCTATGCAGCTTGGACTCATAGTGATCCTCCTGTCTCAGCCTCCCCAGTGCTGAGATCACAGGCATGGGCTACCATGCCTGGTTTCAGTGGCCAGCATGATTTCAGGCCAGCATGATGCAGGACTGGCACAGCATGGGAACGGGGGATCGAACCCAGGTCCTTGTGCTTGCCAGGCAGGTGCTTAGATTGCCAAGCTATCTCCCACACTTACAACATTTTTGTTTTACTTGATTACACATAACAAGTTCATTCATAACTCAGAAGATTTCTTGGGGAAAGTGGTTCATCAGAGTGTAATTTATTCATATAAAAGTGTCTGACAGAGAGTTCTAGTGGAATCTCAAGTTTGTGAGGCTGGATAGAACCTTAGCAACCATCTCTTCTATTTAGTTCCTTTATTGTGGAGAGTGAACGAACTTGCTCCAGAGTGCGGGCCAAGGTTTGAACTCAGCTTTCAGCCCTCAGTGTCATCACTAAATGCATTCCATCCTACTTGATTTACTTGTCACTCCCACATATTTTCTCACTTTCTTCCTATTTAGAACAACTTCTAACTGAGCCAGGCGACTGAGCCCCTTTCTAAGTCCCTACGGAGTTGGCCCCATAACTGCAGGAACTGGTCCAGACAGAGTCGCAGGATTGTAAACAGTCGGAAAACGATGGCTCCTTTTTCCACCAGTATTACGTCACCTTGCACTCTCTTCCTGATCATCTCCATTTAATTTTTTGGAACTCAATCATAATTAGGAAATGTAAATTCTGGCTCAGTGTTATTGCTTGAAAATATTAAAAATAAAAAGTAGAGCCCATCTCCTGGGCAGCTACAGTGAGCTCTAGTAACTGACTCAGGGATTCTTCCCAGTATTCTTACACATAGCTGAACAGAATGTCCTCCAGTTAGGGGCCACCAGTAACTGCCACTGAGTCAGCATGACAATTAGAGTGGATTCAAATGAGAGGTTGCTTGTAAATTGCCAGCCACTAGATTAACCTCATGGTTCTTGAAAGCCAACTTTCTTTTTTATTTTTTAAAGCTTTTATTTACTTATTTGGTACAGGGTCTCACTATACAGCTCAGACTCTTAGTGATCCTTCTGTCCCAGCCTCCCCAGTGCTGGGATTACAGGTGTGTGCCACCATGCCCAGTTTCAGTGGCAGACACAGCATGTCCGGGCTGGGGCCAGCACGGCATGCAGTACCAGAGATCGAACCCTGGTCCTTGTGCTTGCCACACAGGCCTTTAGACCACTGTGCCAACTCTTTTTAAAAATTTTTTTCCCTTTGTGGTAAAAGATATATAACATAAAATTTGTCACTTTTAAGTGGCCTTAAGTGCATTTGTGCTATACAGTTGTCCTTACTCCCATCTGTCCCCAAAACTCCTGTTGTCTTGCAAAACTGAAACTCTGTGCCCTTCAGCAGTAACTCCCCATTTTCCTTGTCTGCCCCAGCCTTGGCAGCCATCAGCTTACTTTCCATCTCAATGAAGCTGGCTACTCCAGACAGGTCTGATTTCATTTATCATGCATCCTAACTTGTTCTACATAAAAGGACTATGAGAACACTGTGCTACAGGAAATTTACAATCTGTCAATCAGGATAAGCTTCTCATCAGTTGCTCCTTCATCAAACATATTTTGAGCTCATATGTGCCAGTCTTTTTTGGGTCTTAGCCAGCTTCCCATAACTATATTATTTATTGTATGTGGAGTCAGTGTATTATGCCCTCAGAATTATGCTTAATGCTTGCTATTGATTAACTTGCTTATTTATCAAGAGAATAACCTTTCCAGCCAGGGCACCATCTTTAAACCTTTTTTAACAGCAAAAATATAAGGCTGACAGAGGTAAAGCCTGTGCAGGGCTGAAAAGCTGGTAGCACAGACAGAATCTGTGTGTAGCTGGGGTCAAGGCCTGTTCTTAGCTCCTGCATGCTGTGCTGCCCTGGACTCATCCACACACCACAGTCTCTCTTGAGCTTTCACAGAAGCCCACTAAGGAGGTAAAGCAGAATGCTTACACCCTAACTTTATAGTAGAAATCATAGAAATATGAAGTGCCAAGTCATTTTGCTTGTACTTGCATAGCTGGATAAACCATGAGGTTTATCTGAGGCATGATTATTGATAATTGTACTTACATAGCTATGGCTTAAAAGCTCATGCCATTTTTTCTATGCTATGTTGCTGCTGGAATTATTACAGTCAGGGTGTGTGTGTGTGTGTGTGTGTGTGTGTGT